TTAAAAAAAATGTATTATTCAATTATACCATTTATACGAAATATAATCGATACGTGTCAATTTAGATAAAAATATAATATATAAAAAAAATTAATTAGTCTTTAAAATAGCTTGTGTAAGTTAGCTTATGCATATTTCTTTAGTAAGTCAGAAAGCTGTCAAACAAAACGCGTCAATTACATCACACATGTAATTTCTGTAATTTCATGAATATTATTCATTTCCAGTTCTTCACATCATCTTAATGGACAATCAAATTTATCATTTCCTAACGGCTTTCCTATGAATTTCTTAAAAATCAATATTCTGAAAATGAAACGTAACGCAAAGTGTGAATCAGTAACATTACATTACTTTTTTACATCAGTTGCTAATCTCCTGATTTATGCAGTAGATTCGAAGTTATTCAATCTCGGGAAACTTCTCTTGCGGGACTTAGCTAAAATCGAAAATTATATAATTTGTGTTGGTAGGAGTGATTTATATTGACGGGGAACTTGTAAATATAGTTTATTTCGTATTTGTAGAAATGAATCTCGTAGATAATATAGTGATAGAAAAAAAATAGCTATAGATATTTTCCGAAAATGTGAGAAAGCAAAGAAATAATTTAATGCTGGGATCACATTAAATGGACTAGGATTCGCTTCTCTAGCATTTTCTGATTCGCTATATAAATCAATAAAATTTCGCCCACTTCGTCATTTGATCGAAATTTTTTTCGGAAAATATAGTAATTGTGTATTGCATTCGTCTTACGTAACGAACCGTTGTTAAGTCCGAAGTGCCGTTTTTGACTCTATATCGGTACTTTTGTAACAATGAAACATTACATAAACCTACATACACCACTAATCGTAATTTAATTTTTTGTGGCTTAGGCGTCTAATGGTATGGTTTCAATAATATAAATACAGTAATTTATATACAGTCAAACTCTCTTTAAATGCACCCTTAGAGATTGTCTCAGCGCATTGAAAACCCACGGTAAGCTAAACTGTGGTAGTGATTATTTCTTATGAGAATAATTTATAATGTAACTTTTTGTTTATGAATCACTTAAAAAGTTTCTAGATTTCGATTCCAAAAAGGTGTTTTTAACAGATAAAAAAACGGAGTATCGGCAGTACAAAAGTGAATTGGATACGATCAAAAAGTTACTATTCTGAAACGTCTGAGATCGGGAAAAAAGCAACAAAAGTTGATTAATTCATTTAAGGTAAGCTATTTATTTTTTCGATTGATTAAACAGCCTGTGCTGCACTAGTTCTGTCATCAACTACCCTGTCAATTGCGATTGGCAGTGGGAAAAGGCCGCGGTCAGTTGGTGAGCTGCAGTGAGCTGTATGTTAGTGGGCTGTTAATGTTTCAACGACTACATTACTACAATGCAAGAGAAAGACTGCATGCTTTGTTCGTTGTTTCAGGCTGGTCAAATGTTTCTTCAAATTTTCTAACATTCTTTCTATAACAAGCTTGATAAAAATCGCAATCATTAATTCCTTTTTGGGATTTACAAACGAAGAGACAAACCATTCATATGGAGAGTAAGATACTTGAGGAGAAAGCTCAGTTGCAAGAAGTAAGTCGTCTTCGTGGTATATCCGAAATTAATAGCTTGTTGTTTTGACACACTTCCTAACAATATTTGATTTAATCTGGCAAAGAACGAACTAAAAAACAATATTCGTCTCGAACGGGTTAGTATGTTACTTGATACCTTATTACATCCGAAACTAAATTACTTAGATTATTAACCAAAAAATCTGATCTTAATATTATTATTGTATGCTCCATTTAGACCCGACAGATTCTGGATACAACGAAAGATATCCGAAATCAAGATCATTTACTCCGGGAAACAACTGCTAGACTGATTGAAAAAGATCTGTTGGATGAGTCATATGTAAAGAATTCAGGACAAAAGCGACCTTACTTTAAGGTTGTCAACAACGTTTCTCTTGACAAAAGAATGTTAAAAAGAAACGAGCATTTTTAGCCTCTATAATTGTTATATATGAACTGTTTTGTTTTCCTTTGCTTAAGACAAAAATCGAATGAAGATCCAAGAAAGAAAGTAAACAGGATCCAATGGAAAAAGTGAACTTCCTTGTTATAGTTCATTATGGTCCGATAAATTGGGTGAAGATTTTATTCCTGTGAACCTGACTCATTTTGTACCTGGGTACGTAGATCAGATTTCATTCCTGTGAATCTGACTCATTTTGTACCTGGGTACGTTAATCAAATTCATTTTGGTCCCGGGTACTTTATCCCGAACATTTGGTTTCGGGAAATTTTGATAGCAACAGTGAATGGTAGATTTAGAGATTTAGGATAGTATCATAATATATGTAATTAAACTTAATCTTGTAATTGTACTTATTATATACAATTGTTGAGCAAAGTATTTTTCCGGGGCAAGAATTGGATCCGGAACTGTTTCTCGAAGATTATGATCCGATAAATTGGGTGAAGATTTTATTCCTGTGAACCTGACTCATTTTGTACCTGGGTACAGTGTTGTGACTGGGACGGGACATGTCCTTGGATGGGACAGTCTGGGACAGTCCAAAAAGACTTTATGATGTCTGGGACATTTTAGAATATATATATATTGTAATTTTGAATAATTAGTAATTAGTGGGACAATTATCTTGGATGGGACAGCCTGGGACGTCCCAGCTGGGACAGTCTGGGACATTAAAAATCTTGTGGGACGCTGTCCCACCACATCACTGCCTGGGTACGTAAATCAAATTCATTTTG